GCCGGTCACGCCGCTCCCGTCCTTCGCCGCTTCCTTGATCGCGGACCTCTCGATCTTCTTCAGCTCCACGACCTTACGGTTGTTCGCGTCCTTCGCGCTTTTCGCCGGGGGCGCGGTCGCAGACTTGAGTGCTCTCCCCTTGGCCACGGCCGCTCTCGATATCTCGGTCCTGCTGGCGACGCCGTTCACGCTCTTCTTCGGAGTCGTCGGCGACAGCTTCACCGCCACGCCGGTTTCCTTCCTGTCCACGGTTGGCTGCTTCGCCCTTTTCTCGGCCGCCTTCTCGACCAGCTTCTCGGCGGCCTTCGGTTTCGACGGTGCCTCGGTTTTCCCGGCCTTGACGCCACCGACGCCTTTCGCCGCGTCCCTCTTCTTCGATTCGCCCTTCGCCGGCTTCGATTCCTTCGCAGGAACGATCGGTTTGTCCGCCTCCAGTTTCACCGAACCATCCAACTTCTTCCCGGTCTCCTCCTCCTGTTTCTCCGACTTGTCCTCCGGCTTGTCCGACTTCTCGATCGCTGGAGACTTGTCGATCTTCGAAACCTCCTTCTTCACCGGAGCCTCCTTCTTCCCCTCTCTCAGCTCTTTTTCAATTTTCCTGCTCTCTTTCCCTTCCACCTCCATCTTCTTGTTGTCCACGACCTTGCGAAGTTTCGTGTCAATTTTAGCCGCTTGCTTGGTAGGTATAATTTGCGGTGCACCTTTCCCCTGTGAATCGTCGGTGGATTTGATGGTTTTCGCGTCGCTGGCCGCTGTTACCGGTTCCTTCTTCTCCCTTTTCGCGTCTATCGCCCTCCTCGGCATTCCTTCTTTGTCGAACAGGCCCAACTTTTGTTTCGCCGGTTTGTCCCGCAACGTAGCCAGAGACGTAGACGGCGAGAGGCTCTTGGCCGAGCAAACCGGATGCTTTAGGAACTCCAAGTGTTTCAACCGCTCGAAGCCTTCGAAAATCTTGTGTTGCGGTGTACTGCCGGGGAATAGAATCCTCGTAATGGTGTCCTCGGGATTAGCCGGCTGCCAGACGAGGAGCGCGCATATCGATACGAGATTTTGAATCGGAAACGTTAGGTTATTCGAATCCTTCTTATGCGAGCCTGCGAACATCTTCAAATCTGCCGCATGCCATTTCGCCAGGAACTCCCGGACCTCCCGGCTGTCCTTGCTGGGGCTGAGAACGTACATGTCCAGCGTGCCGTGTCCCACTTTGTGATACAGGTTGATCGGATCCGGATCCCTGTAGCACGGGTGTGCTCGTAAATTGATGTGACGTAGATTGAGAACCATTTCTTGGCCGAGATCGGTAAGATTCAAGATCAGCGGGTCGATATCTTTGTCCCCGTCGGGTGAATTCGACTGTCTCCTCTCCTGTAGCGAGCAATAGGAATTCGATATGAATCATCCGCGAAATCATCGGCGCGCGGCAAAATATAAATACAAAGTACATTACGTTACATTCGATTAGATTAGATTATAGAATGGTATCGCTGTACGATACAAAGGTATCCACGTTATCAGCTACTACGCGATTTAGTCAACACTTACGACTAGATTGCAGAAGAAGTGTCCTATTTGGGGATAAACGTGCATCTCCTTCTTCTTTCGGAGAACGCTGAACATTCCCCCGACGTTGCTATTGTTTATTCTAGTGACCAGAACTGCGTCGAGGCGGTCCAAATGTCTGGTAAAGTCCCAAAAGCAAGCTTTCCTCGCGAAACCTCCGTCCACGAGCATGTTAAATCCGTTGATACCGAACAGAGCGGCGTCGCCCTGCCCGCCCGGGAAGACGTATAAAGTTGGATGACTAAATCTAATGTTGCCCACAATATCGGACGGCTCCATCAATTGATCCAGTGTCTGAGCAATCAGATATTGTCCCACGTAATTGATAAAACTGGTGATCGCTGGTACCCCAGCGGTAAGAACATCGTCAGGATTCACTCTGACCCTGCAGGATCTGCGTAAGAACACACAGAAATTCTGTTCCTAATGACACGCGTATACGAAACATAAACGTCGAATGCATTTTCTTATATTATATTCCATTATATTACACTATCTTACATTATACCACATCGTATCGCATCGTATCGCATAATATTACATCATGTTACGTCTATACATGCTGTCGAAGCTGTTTCGAAGCAATGTGTTCCGAATAGACATCGGTAATAGGGATCGCGTACCTGGTGCAAGCTTCTTTGGACAATCGATTTGTTGTCCAGTCGCCAACACCCGAGCAATGAATGTCCACCGTGACGCTGTTCTCGTAAGCGCGTAAAACTCGTTGCACCTCGTGCTCGCTGAACGCATCCAAAAAATCGGCAATGCTGAACGTTCCATCCTACAAGAAGGTGATTCACTGGTAGACTGGTCCATATTCAAGGCCTTGGCCAAAGTGCCGTCGCATCTCGACGATTCGTAAATACGCGATACAATAGTGTACGAATAGTACGGGAGAGAAATGGGAAAGCCCGCTTGTCGTACACAGATGTACACGGTACAGAGATGACAAATTGGCTGGGCGAAGCGACACGAGTCCAATTGGCGTTCCCCGGTACCCGCCCAATCGAACCCACCTAAACTCTTTGCGGTCTAATGTATCCAATATCGCTACGCTGACCCGCCGACCAACTCGACATCTCCGCACCAAGATTCCGTGACCATTCTTTCGTCGAGTATGGCGGAATTATTCGGAAATGCTAGAAAAGCATGCGTACTTGCAGTATCCAGGAACCGTTTCCGCCAAAGGTATATCCTGCGTGTATGATGTGTCGATGTTTCGTGAAACTCGCGAGGAGATTACGGATGCATTGTAACAACGTGTTCGTCTGCGGGTGGATCAGAACTTCCGTAACAAGATTCTCGGTAGCGTATTGAATCAGTCGTTCGCCTGAAATTTCATTCGTTCCGTTCGATTAAACCATCTACGGCACAGCCACCTGCGATACGTATCGTTCGAGCGCTCGTTCATCGAGAACGGACACACGAGCGTAACGATTCGCAGATTGTTCAAACTCGTTAGCCAACTAAGGTTACAGATTTATCTAATGAGGAGAAATATCACGTAAATATCGAGTACCGTTTCGAGCTTCTTCACCCTCCGGGGCTTGTGCTACCAAGGCCAATAATTCTTTCTCCAAGTCTACGTGACAGCTGTCCTTGTCCCACGACAGGAATCCTGAAACAACGTGAAGAACGAGGTTCGCTATAATACAATGCTCGTATAGTCGCGAGTCGTGCGAATATTATGTATAATATTACCAGTTGTCTTGGCATTACACGCATGGAACGATGAAAGGTGCTATTACACGATATTTCGATGGTAACTTGATTATTATCACGACCTAGAACGACGCCGATACAATGTAATGGGTCATAACCAAGCACAACCACCCAAGAGACTGCACTACGCTGGCTTCATAAAGCGACGGCTATTCAATTGTCAGGGTCAAGTAACGTAAGGGTAAGGTTAAGAAGACGAGAATCGTTTCTTCATACTTGGTTTTAAGAATCAGATCTACGCGAAATCTACGCGAAGTCTACGCCAAGCTAACAAACCGTTAACCATGGCTAACGATGCGCGTACTCAACGGATATACGTTTATGGCTGAATCTCTCATTATTGTTTACCACGTGAACGGAGCGGGTATAGAAACCGAGGGAAAGGGTAGAAAGATGAGGCTAGAAAGGCTAGAGTAATGGTATCGCAATCAACCGATATTCCAGCAACTAAATGTTCAAAGTACAAGTTCAAAGTGAAATGAAATTACAAACAACGATAAACTGGAAACGGGAAAAGTCGTTCCGTGACGTCACGAATACCGCACCCCGTCACGTGGTTGATTCTGTAGTAGCCATCAATCGATCGTTGCGTATCCTGTGCACCCACTTCTCTGTATTCTCTCTCTCTCTCTCTCTCTCTATTCCCGTCTACCTATGCGACTACGTTTCATCTGTTTTCGCGCACTTGCTCGCGAGACGAAAGCTACGAGAGCCAGATCTCAGCTAGGAAGTTTCGTCGCTTTTATTTCGACAGTAAATTTGCAGCGACATTGCACACTTGTATGCGTATACTCGAGACAAAATATCGAATGACAGCAGCTTATACGATGCGTGCTGCGCACAAGACCGTAAGGAAAGGAACGAATCAAAGGTGCGAATCGAGTCGCTATCGAATCGATGCGAAAAACGATGTAAATCCACTTGAGAAGATTCGAAGCAAGCATCGCTTTCCATAGAAGGGAGAATTATATTTGATTTATTATCCACGTACCATCTGATATGCGCAAGTGCAACGCATGTAATAAATATATAGGTAGCCATGTATGCACGCGTAACGTGCTCGTAACGACTGACGGAATATTCTGATGGTTAAATGACCGCGGATATATGATTAGGAGCATCGTGAACCATTTAAATGAGTCTATCGAGCCACAGAACCAGCAAGCTCCCTATGTCAAATTGATCGGAAGCCCTGGAGGTGATAGAAGAGAAGCCTTGCCGCACACGTAAGAGAAAGAGGACGGGGGAGAGAGTGCCCTTTAATACTTTACGACCCCTAAACACATTTTCTTTGTCAGAAATATTCGCGTACGCGGATATTGCTCGACTCCCGGCCTGGTTTAAACTCATTCCCGGTGTCCGTCTAATCTACGAGAACGCTAATCGTAACAGTAAAAAGTTCACTTTGATTCGCTCGCAGCAACGCCGCCGGTACAATACCTATAGAATATATTCCACGTACACACGTGTCGGTATATGTGGTATGTAGCTACCTAGGCAGTACTTAAAAACAGTGTGGTGAATATAGCGAGTTAAATATAGACAAAATCGTCGGTTTCTTCGTCGGAGCATTTACCCCACCTCTAACATAGCGTCCCTTAGAGCCACGCGCGTATTCCTTTCCATCTCGTTTCTCGATTTGCATCGACTTTCTTTCCTTCGTTTTCCTTTTCTCTCGCTTGACGACGGATACCCGAAACGTTAGGGGTTTGCCCAAACTATGTTTAGACGCAGTTTTCCGTTGTCTTTCACGCAACTGAGTCGCCCGCGTATTTGCTCGACCGATCAACCGATTTACGCGTCCAATTTACAACTCGAAATCAACCGTCTCTCGAGAAGCGTTACTCGAAAATCACTCAAGATTACTCGCTACAAGAAAATTCGGCCTAATCGTTATCGCGCGATGCGTTCAGTAATAACAAGTGCACGCTACTGAACAAACCCCGAGGAAACCTTTCGTCGTTTAAAAGGGGTCAAAAAGATTCTTCAAAAATTGCTGACGTTGCCCCGCAATTCACTTGTCGAGAAAAAAGAAACACTCGGCCTCGAACGAGGTCGACGACGAGCCGTTCTTCTAATCAGTTCTAATCGCCGCTATCGTCGTCGTCGCCGTCGTCGTCGTAGTCGTCGTAGTCGTAGCCGTCGTGACTGTGATCGCCGTGGCCGTCGTCGTTATTTAACGTCGCTACTACCAATGGGAAACGTTATTTGTAAAAACTAATGTTATCGTACTAAAAACTGATACACGACATCGGTGTACATCGAGCCTGGTTGAAACATTACGGAAATGTGGGCACACCCGAAGCGTAATCATAATCGATAAGCATTATTCGAAAGGGCTATGTACGGTCTTTGTAGAACAGTAGGTATAGAGAAATCGACCTATGCTCGTAAGCGTAGCTATTTATACATGTACGTTCAAGACCAGGGCGAAGACCCGATCCAACTGGTTTGTCAAAGATATTATCGAAAGTTAATTCTTAACTTGAGTTAACTCGAGTCAAGTTTGCGAGCGAAGCGTCTCGTTAAACATTCCTATCGACTGGCACAGATCACCAAGAAATAACCACGAAACGATCGGCGCCTGTCCATTTGTTTCGCGTCCGTCATGACGTTTCAAACCGAGACTCGAATGGAATCGGAAAACGCCGATAACGTTCTCCTTCGAAACATAAAACTACCACAGAAACGATATTCGTTCGTTCCCATGTACCGATACCTATGCATCGTGCTTCGCGAACAGTTGCTTTCAATATTATCAAAATGAAAGCGAACGCAGCGAGAAACCTTCGAATAAAAATTTGTCACTCGACAAGTAAGATCCGCGGGTTACTCTAGGGGTCAGGTTCAAGAACAAGGTAATCGTGAAACGGAGTTTCACGACTCGAAGAGCACGATGCGCGAGAGAGCAAATCACTGGCGAATGCCGTGGTAAAATTAGACACACTATATTCAGTTGCACGTACGAGGAAACTATAACGGTAGCCGTGAACGTTTACCGAACATCGTATCATCGTTCTACACGAAATCTAACAAACATTCGAGGCTCGAACGCAACGGCGACGTTTCATTCGGCACGGTAGTACGACGTCGTTGAAAAAGATTTCGTCCGTCTTGAACACTGGAACGCACACGTATAGATTTCCAGAAAGTTTCGCGTCCGCGTCGGATCGCCTCGCGAAATCCATGTAATTTTCCGAAATTCTCAAACCGTTTCCAACATCTGCGCGCACATCCATGCGTGCACCGTGCGTGCACCGTGCGAGCATATTCATGTGTACGCGCGTGCATGTACATGCCGCGAGTGTAATCTCCAGCGGATCCCTCCATACGAGAGACCTTCCGGATATTACAAGCATCGTGTAACTCCAACTTTCTCGATGCTCCCCACGTCCTCAATCATGATTCATGCCGACAAGTATGCCTTCCTACCTTGCGTATGTGTCGATACTCGTGCAATATCCGCGAATACATGTACACGCGTTCACTGACTCGCGCGGCATCATCGTATCAGTCTTATCCGATCGCGTTGCCGAACGCCGATTCACCGGTGAGTCGTCCAAAATACTAGAAACATTTCGTAGCGGCCTACTGCGCTCGCTACCGGTTAAATCAGTGAAATTTTTCGAACCGCATACCCGCGAGCCGTTCCTACCTTGCCTCGTAATCATTTCCGAGGGTTCGAATGTGAGTCATACTCACGAAACTTGCTGCTCGTTGGTTAGCACGTTCCATTGTGTCCGTCGCATACGAAACGATCGGTACGGGAACACACGCGTACGCGTTGAATCGATCAGCATTTTTGTCGCACGCGTAATATTCTAGTCGAGCAATTACTTGAAGGAATCGAGCCTCTCGATATATCTACGAATTATTCGTCTTGTAGAGCGCGACTTAATTCTCGCATGCATCGCTCCAGCTAATCAATAACTTTCGAATGGCCTGTACGCTAATCATGTTACTCCGAATTTTCTTCATCCTGCGCCTCCTCCTCCTCCTCCTCTTAGTTCTCCTCTTACTCCTCCCCCTCCTGCAGCTCCCCCTGCCGCCTCCTCCTTCTTCTCCATTCTCTTCCTTCCCCCTCCGCCCCTTTTTGCTAATCCATTTCTTCGCGCCTAGTTTCGTTATTCTATCATTTTCCTCGATTCTTTCTCAACTGACGGCAGCCTGCTCGTACGCCTCCGCTTCTTTCCCATTTTCCACCCTCTGCGTCGCTTTCGTTACACGCGTGCATGGAATCATTGCGCGCTCAACCGCGGAAAAGGGTGACGAAATAATGTCGTCATTTTGGCTTAGCGACAGTTTTCACTACCAACCGAGTGGATGGATTATTGATCCAAGTTCTGGGGACTGCGGGGATGACTGTGGACTGGTACCAACATGCGCATGCCGCGCCAACCTTTCGCTACACACACTTTTCCACCTCCTACAATTTCTTTTATTTTCCCCACCCCATCCGAGATTCGACATTCTAAGAAATTAAGGGAATTCGACTCGTCTGCCCATTTCGTCGAACGTTAAAGTTGTCCGAGTACTTCGTCGCGTCTTCGATGAAAAAACTTTTGCCTTTTTCCTCCTGTAACGATCCTGTAACGATCCGGTTCGATCGTGCCCGCGATCGATCTCAAACCGGCGATCAACGACTCGCCGATAACCAACGAGCCAACAAACTACCTGCCGCCCAATTTTCTCTATCTAACCAACGTCCGCGCACAAACTCCGCCTAGCAACAAGCGGAACTTGCGAAGTTGCTAGGTAAGTCCGCCCGATAAATCGGAAGGAATATGTACGCACACCGAAGAAGAACCGTTACCACCTGATACCACGCGTGGAAGTAACACGTAACGAGCCCGCGTATAATCGTAACAGCAATCATTGTGGCTAATAATGCGCGAGGATCGTATTTGCGTGTTTCTACGTGCTTATCTAATATATTATGTATTATATATTATGTTGCATAGGTACTATCCGTTGCGTAAAATCGATATTTCTTCTTGCCAATGCTTGCCAACGAACAAGAGTATAAAGCAGGAGCGGAGACACTTACCTTTCGAAAGACGATTCAGAATGAGATCTTTGTGTTGCGCGGTGTGAGGTTCTGGAAGCACGACGAGAAGGTAGCAACCACTTAAAGGCGACGGCGGTGGATGCTGCTGAGATCCCGGTGGCATTACACTGCCGGTCACCGGAGTAACCGGAGACATATTCTGTTCAACATTCGACGGCGATGTTGTAGTGGTTTCGTCCCCTCCTCCTCCTCCTCCTCCTCCTCCTCCTCCACCTTCACCGGTAGGATCCGTGGCACTCATTACTAAGAAAAAATCAAACACACGAGTAATTAATCTTCGGGTCGAAGCCTACATTTCGTTTTTATCCTCGTTCCAACTTTTTCCCACAGAGAGCAGGGAGAAGACACCTCCTGGGAGATGTTACTTCATGATCGTCACACGAACGGAATATTTGAAGAATCGACGATTAGATTGAACTGACTCTACACCTTGAGGAAAAACGTCCGATTATCGCACGCGCACCAACCACTGTCACTGCTTCTTGCCGTGTCTGACACATGACATCATCTTTCCACTAGCAGCGTTCGAAAAGAGGAAAATTCGTACTTGATCCCTTTCCCCCCTCGTTCTCGTGTCGTCCGATTCTTATTAGTATCGTTATGCTTCTTATCCGATCGATCGTTCGTATTATTCTATAGAAATTAGATAGCTACTCGTTGCACGCATCGCGTACGCATCTATCGATACTTTATCCGTCCACTTGTTCACCGATCGAGCAATTGCCACTGAATTCTTCGTTCGAGAAGTGTACGTTCGAAAGCAGTAGTAGTGACGACTGTAAAACGTTAAATGGGAAGCTGTATCGATCCTCTTTTGAAAATTCGATATGTGTCAATTCTGTGCCGGCCGACATATATAACCCTCGTCTCGATTCGTCGTAACGATATTTAAACGAAATTCGTACATTCCAACACTGGCGATGCGGATAAGAATTACGGTTACGGCAGGTTATTTCTCTGGTCGGATCGATGCATCGCATCCTTTCGAAGTAAATGAACAAGGAGTGAAATCTAATACTGGATTGATGTCGGAACGTTACCGAGGCAAGAAAATTTCGAAGAAATCGCACAAGGATGTCACCGCGTTGTCCTACCACGATTTCATGCGGACAACTTTGACGTTTAATATTGCGCAGGATCTGCACGACCCTTTTCCCTGAAAAGCGCTAGGGCTATGTCCTATCGTCCAGTGCGCAGGACCCGAGACTCTCCGCAACAGCCTTAGATCATTGATCCAAATTCTGGCCGACCGACTAGAAAACAGGACAGAAATATTTATTTTCACTTATCGATCTCGCTTGGTTTTCGACAAATTTCAATTTCGCAATGGGCACGACGATCAAGAATTCTCGCGATTCCAACCAGAAGCTGATCCGATACACCGAATCTCCGATTTCCCTGAAATTCCGCACTGCTGCAGGCTTATCGATGTACCTTATACTTATTCGAAATCCCCTGTGTACAATACAGAAACGACCAACGGAATTTAACTCGTGAATTCGAACGCGTCTAATATTTCTTTGAATGTTGGAACGCCGAAGAGAAAAGTCGAACGATCGTTGCTATCGAGTAGATACCGACACTGCGGTGCACCCCTCTAGCAGCAACCCTCTCCGAACACCACCCGATAAGTCGATACAATCTATACGGTCTTACGAGTCTGAAGATTCGTCGAAATTCGCTGTGCGACGTTCATTCGAAAGAATGCGAATCGCATAAGAATCGATGCCAGAAAGATACATACGTGGCTTACCTCTCTACGTCTGCTTGCTCCCGTCTACTCTCCCTCTTAAATTTCCAGCTTCTCGATATATATTGTAAAAGGCTCCTCCTCCTCCTTCTGCAGGAAGTGTAACACACGAGCGAGAGCAAAGCGTCTGCCGAAGAAAGTCCGAGTTTAAATCGAATACAGTTCGTCTCGCAGCGGTCTGCTTTCTCGTCTAAGCTTGGAATCGCTCCACCCGACTCACCTTGTCCTTTTCGTGTACCGTGGCGCGTGCATAGGCAGAGCAAAAG